TCCCTCCTCAGCTCTGCTGGCTGTCCGTTCTGACTACCACTGTGCCCTGTGGAAGGTCAGCAGGCAGGGGCGGCCAGCCCCGCTCCAGGTGCTAAAGGTTGAGAAGGGGGCCATGGGGATCAACCTCAGGTAGGGGCTGAATTGGGCTGGTTGGCAAAGAGATAGGCGTGGGAGAAGGGGGTGGCATAGCACTAATCACACTTATGCCCTGTAGCCCTCACCTGCCCGGGGAGCTGGTTGTCTGCAGCCGTTCGGGAGCCGTCTGTCTGTGGACACCCCACGACGGGTAATGTCCCGTTCCCCAAAAACCTTCCACCCCACACACAGCTCCCCCTGAACTGCAGCCCATACTTCGCACACAATATGTCCTGGACCCAGGGCCAGGTTGCCCCACATCTGCTCCCAACCCCATCTGCTCATCTCCCCACCCATGTCTCCCCAAGGCTTCAGCAAATCTACAAGGATCCTGAGACCCTTGTGTTTCGGGACCCGTCTCCTTGGCGTTGGGCAGACTTCACCGCCCACCCTCGGGTTCTGACTGTGGGTGACCGCACTGGAGTGAAAATTATTGACACTCAGGTGAGAGCTGGGGGATTGTCCCAGGCTCAGCAGTGGGATAGGGCAGATCATGGGGTGGGGGCTAGCATGGGGCCTCCCAGGGCATGAGAAGCAGCAGGGCCAGGGAATCCAATAGACTGGAGGTGCCCCAAACCTCGGACTGTGGGAGGGCTGACCTGGCTTTCTCCCCAGGGCCCGCCAGGCTGTGGTTTGCTGCTCTTCCGTGTGGGTGCGGAAGCGTCATGCCAGAAAGGGGAACGTGTCCTGCTAACCCAGTACCTGGGGGAGTGCGGCCCCGATTCTCTGCAGCCCACACTCCATCTCATTTGTACCCAGGTGAGTGCCACCTGCCCCCTCCTGTCCCTTGTGCACTGTCTCAGCCAGCCCCTAGAGAGGGTCCTGGGACAGCTAACTGCAGGTGAAATAAGAATCACAAAACCCTAATGAGTGTCTGGCTGAAACATGCTAACTAGCGGGTGGGTACAGCCTGCCGGGGGTGACAACTGAGCAGGGCTTTGAGGTGCTGGTGGAGATGGGCCAGATGAGGAGGAAAGGCATGGAGTGGAGAGCAGTCTTTGCAACGCTGGACACTTCCCCGTGTGCTCAGGAAAGGGAAGGAGGTCTGAGGGTCTGGCCCCCAACACACACAGACACACAGGGCATTAGTAGGTGTGTCAAGCATAGGTTCCAGGGTCTGGTGAGTCAGGAGAAGGCTGGGTGAAAGCTGGGTGGGTTTCTATCCACACCTCTCCTGAGCTCCCTTCTCCCAGCTGTGCCCTCAGGATGACAGATGGTGCTGCCCACTTGGGAAATGCTCCTGTGTGGGTCTGGGCACATGAAGGTGGAGAGGTGGTCAGGGCCAGGCACAGTGCATGACCACTTGGGGGTTTGCACTCATCCTGAGCCCCACATGGGGCCACATCAGACCCTCTTCTCCATCTCAGTTCTATGTCTCTTCTGTCTCATTTCTGCTCGGGCCTCCAGTTCTCACTCTACCTGATGGATGAACGCCTCCCGTTGGTGCCCGTGCTGAAGTGGGACCACAGCCTCCCCTCGGCTCCCCTGCTGGCCCAGCTGCTGCCTCCACCCCGCCCTGGCTGCGCGAGGCCGCTGCTCCTCGGAGGCCAGGGCGGGCAGCTGCAGCTGCTGCACATCACAGGTGAGGTCCAGTGAGGGCAGGAGGCGCGTGGAAGACGGGCAGGGCTGGAGCCTGGACAGGACCTCAGCTGCCTGTCCTTCTTCCAGGGGAGGGGGCCTCCACACCCCGGCTGGCAGGGCCCCCCCAGTCTCTCCCTTCCAGGAGCGACTCCCTCTCCGCATTCCCTCTGCTGGAGCCCAGGAGTCAGTGGCAGCTGCAGGAACGTCTACAAGCGCCAACCATAGGTGTGCTGGGCTGAGGGAGTGAGTTTGGGGGGCTGCACCCCTGCCAGCCTTGGACTCACTGTCATTCTGTCTTCAGGTCTGGCCGCCACCATCCTATCTTCTTCCCCCACACCAGTCCTGTCGCTCTTCCAACTCTCAGCGGCTGGAGATGTTTTCCACCAGCGCCTCCACCTCCGGGAAGACCCCAGGCTTCCCAGTGACCCCAGGCCCAACTGCCATGCCCCCACGGCTTCCTGGAGCCCCCAGGCCACTGCTTGCTGCCGCAGGTGGCTGAAGGCCCTTCTGGAGGTGCCACCGGCTCCCCCTGTGTGGGCTGCACCCACCTTTTCCCACCGCCGTCTGCTGAGCTTCAAGGAGCAGCAGAAGGTTGAAGGGAAAGTGCCAGAGGGTCTCCGGGCGGCCATGGCCCAAGGGCGGCTACTGCAGCAGAGGGACCTGGGCTTGCTTCCCACAGCAGAGCCACCACCGGGCCCCGAGCCAGGCCCCAAGGATGAACTCAGTGAGCGATTGGAGGCAGCCTGGGAAGGCCCGATGGCTGCCTGGTGGGAGCAGCAGCAGGACAGGACCTCCGGGCCCGGGAGGCAGCCGAAGCGGCACAAGCGGCGGATGCAGCTGTCCAATACCTTCTCCTCCCTCAGCGGCCACCTGGACCTCTCGGGTGCCACCAGCCCCCCTCACAGCCCAGACTGGACATCCCCTGTGTCAAGGCCTCGGTCCCCAGTGACCTTGCCCTCCCAGGAGTTGACCCAGGATCTGTGGGCCCAGGGTATCCCCTCAGAGCGGCAGCAGACCCTGTCGGGACTATATGGCCAGCTACTTCT